AGTTACTGTCAGTTTTCGGCAACGAAGCGCCAGATCAGTCGACAATTTCCTGTTGGTATGAAGAATTCAAACGTGGACGGGTGTTTCTTAGCGTCGATCCCAGGGTCTGTGCACCAAAAACGGCAGTCATATATCGCGAGATTGAGGCGTCCTTGAAGATCTCAAAGACCTCAATTCAAAAAATTTTCCATGAAGAATTAGGAGTAAGAAAATGAGTTTCTCGTTGGATACCCCACCTGTTGACTGAAGAGCAGAAAGCAGCCCGGGTTAATTGGTGTCAAAAAACGCTTGACCGTTTCCATTCCGGAAACTCAAAAAATGTGTACAGCATTGTTAGTGGTGATGAATCGTGGATTTACTGTCATGAAAATAAACGACAGTCGGCTGTTTGGGTGTTCCAAGGTGAAGAAAAACCAACAAAAGTCATCCGTTTTCGAAGTGTTTCGAAAAAGATGGTCGCGACATTTGTATCAAAAGCGGTCATATTGCAACAATTCCTCTTAATGAGCAAAGAACTGTTACTGCGTATTGGTATACCAACATTTGTTTGCCAAAAGTCATCACCGAGCTTCGAAAAATCAACCCCGAAAGAAGAATCATCCTCCACCAAGACAATGCAAGCTCGCACACAGCCCAAAAAACAAGGCAGTATATAACGGAAGAAAACGTGGAATTATTGGACCATCCTCCATATAGTCCCGATCTATGTCCTAAAGATTTCTTTACTTTCCCGAAAATTAAAAACAGACTGCGTGGTCAAAGGTTCCAGTCACCAGAAGAAGCAGTTGACGCATTCAAAAATGCCGTTTTGGATCTGCCAGCAAACGAGTGGAATAAGTGCTTCGAAAATTGGTTCGAGCACATGCAGATGTGTATTAATCTTCGTGGAGAATACTTCGAAAAACAATAAAGTAATTTAAAACTACCTACCATGTTGTTTTATTTCCATATGCAAAACTTAAAAGACATCCCTCGTACTGTCATGTGTCGACGACACGGGAAGAGCTCGTGGAAAGGATCAATACCGGAGAATGGAGAACATTTTGAACAGCTTCTGTAACATTAAGCATATCCAAAATATTTATAAGAAACATCGATTTGTCATTTTTATGTATACTTTGACCCACGTTAGATAGCATTTAATACTTAACGTAGAAGACTCAGGAAAACAAATTTGGTGTCATTTTGTAGATAATATAATTAGCTGTAGAATTAGCACAAAAAGGTACAACTTCACAGACTAGTTTTTAATGATGTGCGGATATGCACAAAATAAAAAATTTTCAATAACCGCTAGAACGACATGCTATCGTTCTAATGACACCAAATTTATCGTTATGTACTCAGTTATCACAATTTTCATACATGCACTAGCGTAATCGTAACGTAAAAATAAAATGGCTGCCATTTCAAGAGAGGTGAGGTATAACATTGTAGAGGGGTGGATTTGTCGATAAAAATGGCTGTTAAATATCGGTATGTCGTGACCAAACACATTGTATATCCTCACCTTGGATCGCTAAATAACGTTTTTCTGAGTCGCATCAATCTGTCAAAGCGCAGAGAATATGCGGACTAACAATTTTTGTCGAAGTATCGAAGATGATTTTTCACCAATTTTGCGAACTTGATTAACTAAGTCTCTATCTTCCCGCTCCTCGTATGAGTTTATTATTTTCATCACCTGTGTATGTAATTTGTTGTAATTATGACCAAATATCCGATATAACAGACATCTTTTTTATAGTGTTAAACATTTAAACAGACAGGATTTGACAGTAGGGTGAACTCTCTTCAATACACATTTTTAGCTTCAGTTTCCCGGTTCTAATAGTTCACTGATTGGTGTACAGTAAATGATGCACATATACAGGTATGTCACTTTCCGTGAATAACCTTACCTTGTATTTACTTTGGTAAACAACAACTTAAGAGATAGCTAAAATCGGCGACGGAGAGATTCGAATCCGCATCTATTTCATTTCACGGAGCTATCTAAACCTGCAGCACCAGCTGCCAATCAGCTTTCAGGATCTGTTAGAGACAAATTCAATCCTACCCAAGTCACTGTCACTTTGTTATTTCAAGCTGTTTGATGTTCCATCTGGTGGCGTTCAAGTGATATAAACCGAATTGGTAAGGTATATCCAATTGATTTCTAGTTGCACCACGAGGTTTCGTGGGACACTTACCACGGTATCACTAGGCGAGGACAGTGACCTGTAGACGATTTTTTTTATAAGCGTATCTACAACACCGAGTACGTTTAGTAAACAACCAAATTGACAGACAGACACCGACATACACGCAGTACAAATGTTAAACTCGTTAAGGATGGCAAGTATCAGCACGTAAGAGATTTTGTTGCTCTGTCGAGGACGCCATCACACGAAACGTGTGAAAGCATAAAATTTACCCATCTCTGTCTAGCTAATCTCATTTTATTTCATTGAACTTGTTTACCTCTCACACATAAGCCAGAAAGTTTTGTTTCCCGCTACACTGTGTGAAGTTAGTTTTATTACGAGGGATGTCTTTTAAGTTTTGCATATGGAAATAAAACAACACGGTAGGTACTTTTAAATGACTTTATTGTTTTTCGAAGTATTCTCCGCGAAGATTAATATAAATCTGCATGCGCTCGAATCAATTTTCGAAGCACTTATTCCACTCGTATGCTGGCAGATCCAAAACGGCATTTTTGAATGCGTCACTATATGGAGGATGGTCCAATAATTCCACGTTTTCTTCCGTTTAAATACTGCCTTGTTTTTTGGGCTGTATGCGAGCTTGCATTGTCTTGGTGGAGGATGATTCTTCTTTCGGGGTTGATTTTTCGAAGCTCGGTGATGACTTTAGCCAAACAAATGGTGGTATACCAATCCGCAGTAACAGTTCTTTGCTCATTAAGAGGAATTGTTGCAATATGACCCGCTTTTGGCTCATCTTTTTCGAAATAGTTCGAGAACGGATGACCTTTGTTGCCTTTTCTTCGCCTTGGAACACCCAAACAGAAGACTGTCGTTTATTTTCTGGTTCATAACAGTAAATCCACGATTCATTACCACTAACAATGCTGTACACATTTTTTGAGTTTCCCGAATTGAAACGGTCAAGCGTTTGTTGACACCAATTAACCTTGGCTGCTTTCTGCTCTTCAGTCAACAGGTGGGGTATCCAACGAGAAATTCATTTTCTTACTCCTAATTCTCCATGTAAAATTTTTTGAATTGAGGTCTTTGAGATCGTGAAGGACGATTCAATCTCGCGATATGTCACATGTCTATCTTCAATTAGGAGTTTGCGCACAGCATCGACGTTTTCCTGGGTGACTGCTGTTTTTGGTGCTCCCAGCCTGGGATCGTCGCTAATACTTACCCGTCCACGTTTGAATTCTCCATACCAACGGTAAATTGTCGACTGATGTGGCGCTTCGTTGCCGAAAACATACAGTAACTCAGCAAGGCATTCTTGTTGCGATAATTGTCTCTGAAAGTTGTAATAAATTATGGCGCGAAAATGTTCTCGGTTGAGTTCCATTTTTCTAATGACTTGGTGACACTTAAAAATTCACTGTAGTGGCAACACTGCACGTATTATTGCGAAACTTTGAATTTAAGTTTACTAAAGAGTGAGGTTAAGATTCAGTACTGACGTTCGATCCGCGCGGCCTACTATGTTTCTATATGCAAAACTTAAAAGTCATCCCTCGTACAACACAATGTTGCGTGTCGCCAGAAATCCCAAAACACCTTTTGTACCCATTGTAACCTCTTATTTATATGTAATAATAATGAAAGGAATCACTGTTACAATGTTAGTCTGGCATTATATATCATGAAATGTCTGTCAGGTGTAGCTCGGCCAGATGATGAATATTATAACATAAAGAAGAGGAGAAGAAGATTGATATAATATACTATGGCCTTTTGATAAGTAATCAAGTGTCACACGACTCCCAATTACATTTAAAAAATGCTAAAAGATGGCACTCGACAGCCTTCTTGAACTCTGAACAGTCGCTTTCACTATACGGCGTATAGATCTTGGAAGAATAAGTGCTCCTGTATCTCGATCAGATCAAAAGTGACAAGGCACAACGCCTGTCAGTACTCAACCCCATCTCGTTCAGCAATATCAAATCTGTCGACATGATTTTAATTTATGGTGAGCGTCTTCAAAATACTACCGAGGCTTCGCGAGTGTATCCAGATCGCTTTCCCAGCCGATACCATTCAGGGCCGCGTAGATTTGTTTACCCTGTGCAAAGAGCTAGGGATGCAAGTCGTTTGCAGGATTATCGAGGTGAGTTAGCGACCGGAACAGCCCCAAATGGTGGAAACTGAGGAATGCGTATTGAATTTTGTAGAAGAAAATCCTTCAACAAGCACTCATGTGTAGTCATTGGTAAACATCCTCTCGTAGTCCGTCAGTCACATTTTCAATAAACATTTTCTTTTAAAATGTGTGCTAGCATGGAAAATTTCTACAAAAACATTTTACGGCTACAACTTCGAACAGTAGGGCAGAGCGGGGTCACTTGATCAGGTTTTTGTTCAAGTCAGTGTGGGATCAGTCAGAAGAAGTAAATAGCAATGAGTTAATCTCAAATCAGTCATTTATTTACTTGACCGCATTATAGGATCAAAATACTTTGGCATATCCGTTGTTTAATTTGAAAAAACTACAATATAATCAGATGAGGCATATGGCTCATCAGACCCCACAGGCGGGGTCTAGTGAACCACCCAAAGGGGTCACTTGAGCCAATGCGTTATTCAAACCTTAACACTTTAAAACTTCTGGAATATAGAAACAGAAACGTAACAAAATTTCTAAAACTATTCATAGAAACAAAAACAAACATTTGCACGTAAAAATTATGAAATACCTAATCGAATTTCTAAGGCGTCTCATAGAAATAAAATTAAAGTTAAAGAAATAACAAGAAAAGTGATTTAGGTAATTAGTTTAGTCACTGTCACAGTTCATGCAAATACGTTATACACAGTATTGACACCAGAAGTGCAATTGATGTGAGCCCATGCTCGGCAACTGGAGCACTGTATCCATTCTTCTCCTGGAAGACTGTCTGAATAGGACTCAGTGCACACTAGACAAAAACAATCATCCTCTTCAGTGTCTGATGGAAGTTGTCTTTTTTTTATATTTTTCTTCTTATTTTTCCTACCAAGCTTTCTATGAATTTTCTTATCAGAGTGACCCTCTCCATCAGATTCTGAGGAGCTTATAAGAATTGCTTTCTTCACTGCCCTTTTCTTGTACTTTTCTATCTTCATGCTGGTTTTTGATTTTCTTTACGTTGTTGTGAAGCAAGCGCATCATTTTCCGGAGTGTCTGTCAAAATTGCACAGCTTCTCTTTTTCTTTCGTGTTTGTTGCTTTATGGGTCCTGCTTTCGGTAATGGCCTCACAAGCTCTGGTGAAAATTGAATATCTCTAGACGTAGACGGAATAGTATTTGGTTTTTGATTTTCCTTATCAATTGCCGACTCCAAGGTAGCTGGCACAGAAACGGGCGATGACAAAATCGCAGATGTTTCTATTTCCACCTCAATACTTGGTGAAGGTGCTCTTGTTTCAAGCCCGTAAGATTCAAGCCCATCATCCGTACCAATTGTTTTTGCTATTGGGAGTTCTTGTGTTTGAGATTGTAACTCTGGACGGTCAGTCATATATGATGGCATAAAGTCTTCTTCAGAGAAAACATTGCTATCAAAAGGGTAAATACCTGCTTTCTTAAATCCACTCATAATATTAGTCGGGGTCATTGCCAACGGTAGAGCTGATGCTACTAATTTTGGTATTTCATAAATTGAAATCGTTTTACCTGGATTATTACGAAGCCATGCATCATGAGCCGATGAAAGATATACTTTGAAAGGTCCGTAAACAGATATGTCTAATGGCTGTAGTTTATTGGTACAATGGGGTGGATATGAGAGCATGACCACCCCATTTTCCTTGGCAAGTTCAACTGTTTTAATTGCTAGATGTGACGAATGGTTATCCAATAATAATAAAACTGGATACTCTGGTGATGGCTTGACATAGTTTATAAAGTGTCTCATAAAATCAAAAAACTCGTCATCAGTAACCCAACCGCTTCCATTCCCGCGTCCTATACATTCAGGTGGTCCGTTTGCTACAAAGAAGTTTTTAAACCTTTTTCTAGGAAATATAAACATAACAGGAATTGTATTTCCAATTGCTGATGCAGCTCCAATTACAGTAACAAGAGTTCCACGTTCTCCTGACGTTACAGATCCCACGTTGTGCCTTCCTTTAGCTGCTACTATTTTACCCGGTTTCATGACTGTTGGAACACCAGTCTCGTCGATATTCCATGTCCTGGAAGGTGAGAATTTATACTTGTCCATTACTGCGGCCAGCTTTTCATAAAAAAGACTGACGTTTGTTTTATTAAATGATGTCGCCCTTCCCAAGCTGGTTGCCTCTGGTTTTCTAATAGATAGTGCACTGTTCCTTTTGAGAAAAGCGGTTAGCCAATCCTTTCCAGCTTGCTTATTTGTATGCCAATTTTCTGGTACTCGTAGGTTATATTTAACGGAACATTCATAAGCAAGGAAACGTACATCCGGTGGAGTTAAACCATAAAATATAGACTTGTATGAGGTAGTAGTTTTAATATGCGTTCTTGTTGATTCGAAAAAACTTGGCGAGGGTTTGCATACTCCATGAACACATCAGAATCAGGGGTAGCTTTTAATTTATTGACATACCTCGAAAGCGTGGTTCTGTCTATTTTATTATTTTTAGCTGCTTTACGGATACTTGTACCATTTATTACTTCACTTGCAGCTTGTTTTATCAAATCTTTACTAATATTAGCTCGGTCAGTTTTTCTTTTGTAAGTTCGCATTCTGAAATAAAAAACAATGTAGCAATATTCAAGCATACGACATAATTACGGAGCATTGATTTGGCATAGTATTTAACCATATTACATATAGCATGTTGTAAACAGTAAAACCAAACATCACAACAAAAGTGAGGGGTCACTTGAACATGGCTCACTCGACCCCCTTCGTTTTGGCTCAAATGACCCCTTTCCTAAATTCTCGTAAATATGGTTTCATAACTAAAAACCTTTTGGAAATAGTTTACTTTTGTAACAACAGCCATTAACTGTAACAACATTGAAAGCAAAATACACTTACTTGAAGACCATTCGATGATACTTGTAATGTATAGCCCAAAATTCAGTGAAGCGATATTTTTTACTTTTGGCAACAAATTTACGACATCACGCACTCACATCCAGAACGAACGCCGGCCGGTGACTAAAGCAACGTGGGCTTGGTTTGCTCACCCCCCCCCCCCCCACTTCGTCGAATGCTGCCAACTTGTATATAATGCGCAGCGTGTTAGTGATACTATAGGTGGCGCACGTGACCCCGCGGCTCAAAAGACCCCGCTCTGCCCTACTTATAAGTGACAGCCGTACTTGAAATTTTTTTTTTACTTTTTAGATAGTGTTTAACCACACATTAGCTTTGTTGTTTCAAGCGCAGCTTTATCTGAAAAGAAAGTCCCAACTTTCAGCATACCCCGTATAATTCATCCATCAGTTTTGTCAGACCACATGCCATCTTACAAACTTGACCCGTTCAAATAATAGATAATCGGGAGAATACGCCTTTGTTAAGTTAATGATGAATGAATTACGAAAGAAAATAATGTCCAATTAGTTCAAAACATTTATTACGGTTACAATGTATGTTATGGTAGTTTTATAACGGAACCGATGCGTTATGGTGCATAATAGCCAGGTGAGCGTGTTAGAAGTTACATGCCATGGCGATAGTACTTGAATCTATTACCCTATCAGGTGCAAACCGAATATTTATACTTCGTTCATTCGGATGCGGTTATCACCATAAATTCTTTATCTTATTGGTACAGCTTTGTTGCGGTATGCCCGGGATTCTTGGTATATTAACAGGTGGACTCCACAACACGTTGTGAGCGGTAAGTACAGGGTAATATCTTCGCTCAATAACAGACGGTCTTGATAAATGCTGGCCAAGGATATTGAAGGCCACTTTTCAAAAAGGAGCCCTCTATCACTTACATACCAGCATGTAGCAACTACTAACAGGGAAGTCAACTATCACCAATCTTCTAATAGATGCCTTTGAGAATCATTATCAGGTGGATGCCTAAGGGCGGTATCGTCAGTCGTCCCTACAATAATTGTAGGACGCTTTTATGGCCTCCTTGATTTTCATAGTTTTCTACTATTCCGTGTCAGCGCTCTATTTTGGGGTTATGACACAACTATCTACTTGCATCAAATTCTTCATGCTTTTGACTTACATCATGTCGTCGCCTTTCTCACGAAGTGTGCTAACTGACAAAATAGCAAACATTGAGATAACCCGCATATAGGTGTATTATTCCATGCCGGTTAATCTGACTTAGAGGCATAACAATCTATTAGTGTAGGTAACAAATCATTAACTCGTGGGTGTCTTATCTGTCAAGGTAAATATATAATTCCCACGAAGAGACCTGAATGCTATAATCGTTGCTAGTATACGCACCTCGGTGGCCGAATGATGGCTAAAGTGAAGGGAGATTCTGCCCACAGTTCAATTCATACTGCGATAAAGGGAGCTGGAGATCTTTTTGAAGTCTCACAATTCTATCCGGTTTTTCGATTGGCCAGAAGACGTCAACCTTATTTAGTAATCCCAATGAATATTTTGACTTCACGGAACTTTCAAAAGATTTAAGAATGTTGTCCACAAGGCAAACTGAGAAAGGGCAAAATATTAAATGGGCGGGTATTATGGACTTTATGGTAAGAAAAGACATGCCCAACAAAATATTTTTCAAGTCTAGACACCACGATACTACTTATGTCAGTATTGAGTCAAAAAGACCGTTGAGAAATAGTAATAATATAAATGATATTAAACTACAACAACTTAATAAGGAACCAGCAAAAATAACAAAATAGAAATACTCCGACTAAATTTCCTTATGTGAAAATCCAACACCCGTCGTACGCTTACCAGAATTCCAACACTTTTTTAGAAATTTGCCCCATGAAACGGAATGAAATAAGTATTAAAACTGTTGCCTTTGTTTTTTGTGTATTATAACACATCAAAATTAGCTGGTAATATGTCAAAAGATAATGTTTAAGTTAGTTGTTTTTCTTTTATTTATTTATTTATTTATTTATTTATTTATTTATTTTGCGGTTAGTACACTGCTCGAACAGATGATTCCATTTAACGAACAGGAAATATACAAAATACAAAAAAAAGAAAAAAAAAATCAATAAACACGTATCAAGTACATTACACACATTACATCTAAATAAGTTCTTAACCTACAGTCAAAAACGACCTTTTTAAAAGTGATATAGTGCAATGAAAAATGTCTACTAAATTCTTTACTTTTTCATAGTTGTTACACATTACATATAATGGCGAAAAAAGTAACACACTGGTACGAGGCACAGGTAAATAGAAATTGGTATTGTTAAACCTTATGTTTCGGTACGGTACGTGTAATGACAGCTTTTCTAAAAGAAACTGGCAATCAACTGTGTTGTTCAAAATTTTATATAAGAAAACCACAGCGCAGTAATTTCTGCGCTTAGATAAATTTACCATATTAAATCTACTGAGCAATAAGTCATTGCGAAATCCAGCCTCAGGATAAATCCCATCTTCCTTGAACCATAAATATTTAGCAAAACGTCGCTGGATCTTTTCAATGCTGTCCGAATGTACATCATATGCAGGGTACCAAATTATACTACAGTATTCGAGCTTACATCTAACAAACGCATTGAATAACAATAAAAGAGTTTTAGCATTATTGAAGCTCTTGCCACACCTAAGTATGAAACCCATCGTCTTGTGCGCACCGGTTACAATTTCAGTAGTGTGTTGCACAAAAGTTAACTGTGGGTCGAAAGAAACACCTAGATCCCTCACAATGGAACAACTACCCAAGACTTGACCATTTATGTGATAAGCATAACCAATTATATTCTGCTTACGTGTGAAAGACATAGTCTGGCATTTTGTAATATTCAGATACAGCTGATTCAGGCAACACCACTCATACAGACGTACTAGTTCATCCTGAAGCTTCATACAATCGACAATTCTGTCAATTCTAGAAAATAATTTCAAGTCGTCTGCGTACAATAAGTTGCAACAATTTAGTTGGCCACTGAGATCATTCACAAGTATAGCGAATAATAGCGGACCCAGGACGGAGCCCTGGGGCACCCCAGATGTCGCAGAAACACTGACAGACCTAAAACCACGGTACTCAACGAAAAGTATTCTGTCCAACAGATAAGATCTGAGGAAATTTGCGAATCCAAGTGATATACCACATTTTAAAAGCTTCTGTATTAGTACTCCATGGTCAAGTCTGTCAAATGCTTTTGAGAAATCCGTATAGATAACGTCAATCTGTCCGCAAGTATCTAAAATTTCAGCAGCATGCTGTTTGAAACATGCAAGATTAGATGTAGTCGATCTACCAGGAAAAAAGCCATGCTGATGTGGAGTGATGATGTGTTTCACATGAGTGAATATGATTTCGTGAACAACAGATTCAAATACTTGAGCAATATTACTTAGGATCACAATAGCTCTATAGTTTTCAATCTTATTTCGGTCACCTTTTTTGAAAACAGGAGTAATGCGAGATTTTTTCCAAACCTTAGGATAACATCTCTGTTCCAAAGATAAATTAAATAGAAAAGTGAGAGGCTCAGCGAGCACATGACAACAATCTTTAAGTAAAAAAGAAGGTATTGAATCCGGACCAGTAGAGCATTTGGATCTAAGTTTAGATAAAGCATGGTTGACCTGATCTACTGTGATTTTAGGTAAGTCGCATAACTGACCATTACAAGACACACCAGAGACAGTGTCACCCCTGCCAGAGGTTATGAAATTAGACTGAAAGAATTTAGCGAAAGCATTGACAATATCAGGTGGTGAATTCAGAGCAACGTCATCCAAAACCATATGACTAGGTACACCGGTGACATTTCTAGCTCTGTTAACATATGACCAGAAACTATTTGGATTATTAGAAATATTATGTTCAGCATTGGAAGTATATCTATGAAATGCACGATCCAGCTCAATCTTGATACTCCTTCGAAGCTCTTTGAATGCATCAATATCATGTGGATTGCATGTTCGTTTACAACGCTTCCATAATCTCCGTTTTCTTTCAATCTTGGCAATTATTGAGCGGGAGAACCAGGGAGGATAATTGATATCTCTCGGCGTTGTTACTGGTACATGAATATCAAACAGAAAGTGGAGAATTTGGTAAAAACTGTCACAAGCAAGATCAACCTCTTTTAGTCCATAAAGGGACGAAAAATCTGCATTAAAGATATCATTGTACAAAGCAAGAATATTACATTTTTTAAAATTATAGGAAGGGATATTATTAACCTCAAATCTACAGGAAGAGGTATGAAATGAGAGAATTAGTTCCAAAGGCGGATGGTTACTGTCAATGGGCAACAAGATGTCAAGTGCTTTATTTACCTCTATATCGTTTCTACTGAATACCAAATCTAAGACACGATTATGTTCATTTCGGATGTGAGAGTATTGCTTCAGGTTCAAAAGGTTTGCAAACTTTTGCACAGCCAAAATTTGATTGTTGTTGACAAGGTTGTTGTCCATATAGTCAACATAACTTGGTATATTAAAATCACCTCTGCCAGAATATCACCAAAAACTGACTCATAAATGTCTGCAGACAGATTTGGAGGAATATATACGAGTATGTATGTATATTTATTTCAATAAAAATTGCTTTGACGTTTCGAGTTGTTTTCTTCATCTTATCACCTAATATT